CTGCTCCTGTTCCCTCTGTTCCTGACCTCCACACCCCTGTCCTTCGTATCCCACTGTCACAACCTCAGATCTGCAGAGCGGGTGCAGTGGATGCAGAAGGAGTGCTGTGCCCTGCGCCCGTCCCTCCTGTGGCCATCCTAGGCCACACAGACCCTGCTCCTGGCTCCCTATGGTGCGTGAAGCTGTGTCAGGATTGTGTGTATTCTCCTGATTCTTGGGATGCAGTCTGCAGTGGACAGTGCTCACTCACAAGGATCTGTTCTTCAGTCCCAGGACCAGGCTGATCTTAGGAAGCCACACTCACACCCAGTTGCCACAGAGCCTCATGCCATTTGGCCCATGTCCACTGAGGACATTCCCATGCACTGCAGCCCATCCTGACTCAACCTCCTCTCCCCTGGAACATCTGCTCTGTGCTCCTGACCTTGGCCTGTCAGGGTCCACCCACCTGGGGTCACAGTCCTGAGCCAAGGGGGATTCCTAACAAGGATTTTTGAGGTGTGAGGGTGCTTATAAAATAACATGGGCTGTTATTTTATTGATGTGGCCTCCCCTTGTGTGTGTTCCCTATGATGTCACACAGTGAACCACTAAGGACCCTAAAAGAGTCCAGAGAGTCTCCACTGTGAGCCTCAAGTGTCCCTGTTTGCAGCAGGTTTCCCCCTACTGCTGCACCAGGGAAGAGGACCCTGTGGGCGGTGGACCAGGTCCCTGAGGGATCAGCTGTGCTTAGTACTCAAGCCTCAGCTCTCCTGGAATAGCATCCAATGGGTCCTGTTGGTCACAGAGCCTGCTGGGGTGGACCCGCCCTGCCTCCTGGACAGGAAGTGCTGGCTCAGCACCCTGGCTGCTCCCCAAGGCAGCTTCCCTTCCAGGGCCCAGATCAGAGGGTGCAGCCCAGGCTCCTACCTGCCCGTTCCCTGTGTCTGTCTTGCTCTGCTGCATGAGACTCCTCTTTGAAGCTCCTTGGAAGGGAACAAGTTGAATATAGGACGGGGCCATCCCACAGGCAGATCTGGTGCAGTGTGGGCTGGGATGGGTTTGGCCCTGAGACCTGGCAAGCACCAGTAACTGCGGCAGTGAGGTGGATGGAGCAGAGCGCTGAGAGTCCTGCTCTTCCGCCCTAGGTGGGACTTGGCATGAACTACTACTTGGACTTGGAGATCGGCAGAACCACATGTGCCAAGGACCAGCCCACCCAGGATGACTGTCCCTTCAGTGAGGAGCAGGTATGAGCCTGAAGTGGGCAGGGGCAGCACAAGTACTGAGGCAGTGTGTGTGTGTGTGTGTTTGGGTGTGAGATGGTGTGTGCGTGGGTGTAGGTATATGTGGAAAGTTGCATGTGTGCGTACATGTGACTGATATGGAAGGTGAATATGTCCACATGTGTATATCATGTGCACATATATGTCAGTGGAGAAATACGTGTGTGTGTGTGTGTGTGTGTGTGTGTGTGTGTGTGTGTGTGTGGAGTGTGGTGGTCAGGTGAGTGTGTGGTGCCTGTGAGTGTATGTACAAGCACATCTGTACACACGTGGGGTACCAGAGCAGCACTGTGCACACAGGATTGATTTGAGTGCTGAGAGGCACCCTGGGAAGTGGGGTGCTGGGAGGTAACCCCTCTCTTTGGGGCGCTCCTTCTGGGTACAAGGGGCAGCAGCAGGGCTAGTGGGGAGGAGGAGGACTCTGGGAGTCCCAGCCTCGCCCCAGCCACAGCCAGGCTGAGCAGGTCAGGCCTGAGAGGGCCGAGACACCATGCTGCCCTCAACCTCAGCCTCTCCTGACAGCCGGGTCCCTGGAGGCCGCGCTCTGGGCACTGAGTTCCTGGCACCCTGCCCACCCCGCCTGTCCCTGGGTCCCAGGCCTGGTTCACCCCTGGGTGCCTCTCAGTGCCGCCCTGGGCTGAGGTTGGGGCACTGGGAGGAGTGAGTGCCTGCCCTGCCTGTGCCTGCTGGGCTCCTGGCCCTGCAGGGCCGCTCCCTGGAGGCTGTGGGGGATGAGCACCTGGGATTCCTGAGCTGGGGACAGCACCACACAGGGACTTCCCCTCCACCACTCCTGCTCTCTGATGTTCATGTCTGGGCATCCTCCCTCTCTCCTGAAGCCACACTCACCATCCCTCTCTCTTCCTTTGACAGATGCGGCTCTGCTCCTTTGTGGTCGGCTTTAGGGCCTGGGAGTACTACTTGGAACTGACAAGCTCCAGCTGTCACAATGCTTGAGGTTCTGTTTTGGCCAGGACACAACGACCACCCCTTACCCATGTCCCCTGCAGTATCCCCAACACAGCGATGGAGTGCAGCCCTGGTGCAGTCTCCTCGGTGCCTCAGTACCCAGGCTCCAGGACAGCAGGCTCCTCTGGGCAGCGTGGGCACCCACGAGCTGTCCTTTTCCTTTCTCCTGTGCTTCTCAACCATACCTGTGGGGGAGGGGTTGCACATGGCCACCCCTGCCTTGCTCAATAAAAACCTGTAGCATGGGGCTGGGGATTTAGCTCAGCGGCAAAGCGCCTGCCTGGCAAGCGCAAGGTCATGAGTTCAGTTCCCGGTACCAGAGGAAAAAAATAAAAAATAAAATAAATAAATAAATAAATAAATAAATAAAAACCTGTAGCAGCTCCCTTGCGTGGCATGGTCTCTGGTGCCAGGGAAGGGTTGGGGGAACTGTCCCCACTCTTTGGATCTGTCCCCATTGCTCAGTGCTGTCTGAATATCACATGGTCCTCGTGGACACTATCACAGATTGGAGGTGGGGCAGAGTCATGGTCACAGAGGGCCTGCACTTGTCACCATCACCCATTCGTGTGGGGTCTACCCTCCTGCCCACTCCTTCCAGCTGTCTGCAGGGCCATGGCTCTGCCCTGGGGACCAGGCTTGGAGAAAGTGACCTGGCCAGCCATCCAGGGTGTCCTCTCCATCCCAGCCTCAGTGACCATCTGAGCAGGGCCCCTTGCCAAGGTCTGGCCTTGGGGCTCCTGTGGCTCATAGTGGGGTTTTATTTGACTGCAGGCTGAGAGTCCCTTATCAAAGTGCTTGGGACCAGAGTGCTCCAGGTCTCAGAAATCTATGCGGTTGTGGGAAATCTCCACATACAATGGGACCCACGTCTGACCACCTTGTTCATGCACCCTGAAGCTAATTGTTGTAGTGTGATTCACTACAGGAATAAAGCTTAAATTGGAAGGTCAGAGGGAGGACAGGAAAGAATCCAGGTTGAGTGGTTGGAGGGGTCACCCTGATACGAGTGTTCAGACTGGCCCTCCACACAGGCAGGAGGCTGTTTTCAAGGACTGGCTGGCAGGCTGGAGTCCAGGTGGTCAACCATGTGTCATCATTTTGTTCATAGTTCTGGGATCTTGGTGGAGGAGGGATGGTTTCCTTTCCAGAAGAGGACTCTGATTCCATGAGGTCTCAGTCACATGGGGCTTTGCTTCCCTGGAATCCAGGTGATCACAGATTCAGAGCAGTGGCTGGAGCAGTGGAGGCTTCTGGGAGTAGCTGTACATCACTGTCAGCCTCTCACCTTGTGTCCTCAGATTTGAAGAGGATGAGACCTGAATTCAGGGATGATCAACCCTTTCCAGCCAGATCCTAAATGACCACCACTCCCCATGCAGAGCTGAAAGGAGCTCTGACCCCGGATTTACAGTGACAAGGACATGAAGGATGGTAGAGCTGTGTCCTGCTGTTAGTCACCTATCAGGCCTCTGCAGCCCAAGTGAAGGGCCATGGTTCAAACAAAAATGATGTTTAAGGCCCTGCCTGTCCCAGAGCAAAATGCAGATCATACTGGTAATGAGCAGGTAGCAAGCACCCAGAGATCTATCTGTCTGAGTCCCTATGGTGGCCTCTGACTCTGTCGTGACTGTATCTCTCCCCTCTGAGAGAGTTTATCCTCCTTAACCTCAAGGAGGAAGAGACAAAAGTTCTGTCATATTTTTTAATGTTCATAACTGCTGTACTCTCTGGTTATATTTTCCCATGAGTGTTTGAGATAGAGTGTGCAACTGAACTACCTTCCTTTTACTGTTAAGGCCAGTTAAGGTTTCTCAGGTGTTACCTCTGAGGACACATGAAGAGCCTTTTGGCTCCCTTAGACCCTTACCAGCTGTGTCAGCTGCCCAGGTGGACCATGGCCTTGCATGACCATTGTGCTTTCTTGGAAGCACTGGCACACTCCCCTCTGTGGTGAGTCCTTTAGCACAATGCACACTGGAGGACTCCTAGTCTCTGGAACTCAACACTCCTGGATCAGGAGGTTGGGTGACTCACTGCATGTGCAAGACCCTGGCAGAGGGGATCCATCATCCCTGTGTCCTGGATGACCTTGGAGGACCAGATTATCAGCTGTCCTCTTGTCCTTTCATCTCCTTTCACTTTGATCTCCAAGCCTCAGTTGCTGAACACCTACAAGGTCAATTGCACCAGTGTCCATGCAGGCAGCACAGCTTTTTTTGCTGTAATTCTCCCTGGACACTTGGAGTCTGTGTCAGATACCATCCACCTCACCAGAAATGGGCTGTCTCCCCAAAGTGCTCCTCAGATTGTCTGTTAGAAGTCATAACCCTGGGGAATGTGGACAGACCACACTTGCAAAGTATTTCATGGAAAATACAAAACAAAGACACCAAGAGCAAAACAGCATCATAGTTTCAGATACATAATGAATAAGTTTAGTTATGTAAAAATTAGAGTCCTTTTAGGTAGGATATATTTGCTTACACTTATGACTTTCAGGTCAATCATTTTGGAATGCCTGGGTTTAGCCATATTTAATTATTTTAATACAATTAGTAACACACAGCTGGGCATGGTGGCTCATGCCTATAATCCCAGCACTAGGGAGTCTGAGGCAGGAGGATTGCCGCAAGTTTGAGACCAGCCTGGGTTACAAAGTGAGCTCAAGGCCAGCCGGAACTGCATAGTGAGACCCTGTCTCAAAAAGACAAAAAAAATTCTAATTAGAAACACACCCTCACAAATGTCTACCTTTACAATGTTGGTCCTGGGGGTGGGAACCAATACATCAAGGTGTTTTTCCTCAATTCTATATTTTAGAAGGCTTGTACACTTAGGGAGTGACATGCATTTGACATACAAGGAAGTCACGAACAAACAGCAGCACAGTTATATAGAAAGATTTACATATCAACTTAACTTTTCACTTTTAAGGCAAAATTCAGAATGCCTCTGTAGTATAGCTGTAATCAAGTGATTTTGTACTTAAGACATCTTCAACAGTAGTAACAAAAATCAGAGAAGGGCTTTGGATCTCCTACAAGATCAAGAAGCAGTGTTAATGACCTCAAATATTATTATTATTATTATATTATTACCTGATATAGAAGTGACTCATTTGTGCAATAAACTATTGAGTGATAGCCAGTAGATGTAGACCATAGTTAAAATGACAGTACTGTCCACGTGGCAGTTTCCCTGCTGAATGGTACTGAATGGCATCAGAAATGTTAAGTTCCACTGACTATTTCATAAATTCAGGTCCAGATGCTGTAAGACATCACTTGTGTAAGACAGCACTTACTGGTTACTGTGCATGCATCACACTCATGCATCATTAGTTTCACAGCCTTTGCACATTCTCATAGCATGTGTGGTCCTTGCATTATACATCTCTAGTAAATATATAATAAGTGTCACATATCTAGTAATAACCTAAAATAATATTTGTTCACTTAATCAGAGTTATAAACTGAACATTTAAATAAACTCATATTCTATTAAGACTCAGTTTTCTTGGTAATCAAAAACCAAAAGAATAAAACAGAAGAAATTAACTTAATTTCTGTAAATTTAGATTAATTTCTGTAAATTTTTACTGAGTGTATTAATATTTTAAGCAAACATTGTTTTAAACAACAGTAATGTTATATATTTGGTTTTTAAAAAACGATATAAATAGTCAGTGAAATTATAAGCAGCCTTATCACACTTAGAAATTTTCTTTCAGAAATTTCATCACTGGCCAAGTTTTTATGATTTACATTCACTTTCTGACCTTTCCTCATCTTTCTTTTTACTTTCTGGCAGGTCAACTTCTTACCAGACAGATCTTATCTTGCCAAAAACACTCTTTTACTCATGTCCTTCTTTACTTCCCTCTCTTCTTTCTGCCTTTTCTTCATTTGCAAAATTTGCCTTTAAAATAAATTATAAAATTTCTGAATTTGGAAAAATTATTCTTATTTTCCTAAGATAAAATATGCTCGTTTGCTGGGCGGGTGGTGCATGCCTGTAAGCCCAGCAATCAGGAGGCTGAGGCAGAAGGATCATTGGAAGCTCGAGACCAGCCTGGCCTACAAAGTGAGCTCACGGTCAGCATGAACTACATAGTGAGACCCTGTCTCAAAAAAGACCAAAAAAATGTTCTTTTAAAATACAAGTGTATATACCCCTTTTATAGAATTATATATTAGAATTTTAACCCTTAGTGACCTTATGTTTAGTGAGACTCCAGGAATAAAGCAAGCCTAACCTCCTTTTTAAATTAAGTTTATTGGCACAATTTAGATATACATAATGATCACATTCAGTACAGGAAGTTTGTACCTGTACATGATATATCTTGATTCCTCTATTTCCCAGTACCCTCCCCTCCATTCAACCCCCCTTCCTCTCTTTATTTACAAAGCTTTATTTCCATTTTATCCTTATTTTTTCATTTTTTCTTTTCCTATCCTTCCTTTCCCTCTCTCCTCTCCCTAGTTCCCCTTTCCTTTTGCATATTTTCTTCCTATTTCGAATATCTACTATTCTTTCCCTTATTCCCTTTCTCACTTGAACATTTTCTTCCCATTTCCCAATATCTATTATACATTTTGGTCCTTATTTACACTTTCAGTTTCTCACACCAGAGAGATGATATAATATTCACACATGTGTGTCCGATTTATTTCATGTAAGAGTGTGGTCTCAGGTGCATCCATTTACTTAGAAATGCCTCAAGTTTAACCTTCTTTGTGACTGAACAGTACTCCATTGTATAAAAACCCTCTTTTTTTATCTGTTCATCAGTTGATGGGCATTTGGGTTGTTTCCAAGATTTAGCCATTATAAAATGTGCTCCTATAAACATGGGTGTTGCATATATCTTGGTGGTATGATGCTTTTACTTCTTTTGGGAAGATACCAAGAAGAGGAATAGCAGGAGCAAATGGAGCCTCCAGTCCTAGTCTTTTGAGGAATCTACACAACGATTGCACCAGTCTACAGTCCCACCAACAGAAGGGTCCCTTTTTCCCCTTTTTCCCCAGAACCCCTCTAGTACTTGTTACTGGTTGATTTCTTGATAATAGCCATTCTTTCTGGGATGAGATGAAATCTAAACATTGTTTTGATTTGCATTTCTTCAATGACCAATGACGTTGAACAATTTTTCACGTATTTATTTGCCATTGATATTTCTTCATCTGAGAAGTGTGTATTCATCTCAGATGCCCATTTAAAGATGTCTCTTTAAATTTGAGGGGCCTGTTTTTTTTTTTTTTTTTTAGTTCTTTATAGGTTCTATACATTAGTCTTTCATTTGAGGAACAAAGGGCTAAAAATCTCTCCCACTCTCTGTGTTGCCTTTCACTCTGTTGGAGATTTCATTTGCTGTGCAAAAGTTTTCAATGAGATCCCAATTGGTGATTCTTTGTATTTCCCATACAATCATGGTTTTTGTTCATGAACACTTTGCCTACTCCTATAGCTTCAGGAGTTCTACCTATTCTCTCTTCCATTCAGTTTTCCTATTTTATTATTTAGATGTTTAATCCATATTGATTTTAGTTTAGTGCATGGTGATAGACGTGGGCCTAATTTTAGTCTTCAGCATGTGGAAAGCCAGTTTGGCCAGCATCATTTATTAAAGATATCTTTGTTCCAGGGAATGTGCATGGCCTCTTTGCAAAGATAAGGTGGCTGAGTGTGTTTAGAGGTGTCTCTGCATCTTCTAATCTATTCCAATGATCCTCAGGGGTTTTTTTTGCCAATATCATGCTGTTTTTATCACAGTAGCTCTGTAGTATAATTTTAAGTTAGGGATGGTGATGACCCCTGTCTTGCCTTTATAACTTGAATTGTTTTTGCTATTCTAAGTCTCTTCTGGTCCCAGGTGAGTTTTAGGCATTTCTCTAGTTCTGTGATGTATGCTAATAGTATTTTGATGGGGATTGCATTAAATCTGTGTAACAATTTTGAAAGTATGGCCATTTTCACTGTGTTGGTTCTTACTACATAAGAGCAAGGAATATCTTTCCATTTTCTGATATTCTCTTTGATCTCCTTTTTCAGAATACTGTAGAGTTTTCAATACAGAGATTTTAAAAATTCCTTTGTTAGATCGATTCCTAAGTATTTCATTTTCTTGGGATGCTATTGTGAAAGGTGTAATTTCCCTAATTTCTCTCTCAGTGCATTTGTTATTTGTGCACAGAATTCTTTGGAGTTTTGAGTGTTGATTGTGTAACCAGCTATGCAACTGAATTTGGTTATTAAATCTAAAAGTCTTTTGGTATTTTTTTGATTTTCTATGTAGAGTATCATGTCATCTGGAAATAATTACAATTTAAATTTTTCCTTTCCTATCTATATTCCTTTTATTTCTTTCTCTTGTCAAATTGCTCTGGCTAATGTTTCCAGAACTATATTGAACAGGAGTGATGATAATGGACATCCTTGTCTTGCTCCTGATTTTAGAGTGAAAGCTTTCAGTTTTTGACCCCTTAGTATGATATTGGCTGTTTGTTTGTTATAGATGGCTTTCATCACATTGAGATAAAGATCATCTATTGCAAGTTTCATAGGGTTTTTATCATGAACAGGTGTGGACCTTGTCAAAAGCTTTTTCTGAGTCTATTGAGATGATCACATGGTTTTTGTCTTTGGCTCTGTTGTTATGGTGTATTACATTTATTGACTTGAGTATGTTGAACCATCCCTGCATCCTTGGGATAAACCCTACTTGATCACGCTGTATAATCTTCTTGATGATATGCTGCCTTCTCTTTGCCAGTGTCTTATTAAAGATTTTTGTGTCTATGTTCATTAGGGAGATTGGCCTGTAGTTCCCTTTTTTGTTTGGGTTGCAAGCCCTGAAGATCCAGAAGATGGTTGGCTGCAGCCCATAAATCAGCATATGGTTGCACATTTGGACACTTTTCTTCCAAGCAAAATGTGTGACCAAGTGCATTGCCCAAGGTTCTGCCTACTGTGAAGTAGTCCACTGTGGACCCCTTGTCCACTGTCCAGGGATGTCCTTGACAGGGGCTGTAACACTGCAACTGTTCACTTTCTGGTTGAGCCTGCATAACATGTAGAACCATTCGTAAGCCAGGCCCTAGTCACCTCTTCCTCTGTCGGCTGATCATACGGAGCACCCAAAGGCCAGAGAGGCATGCTGGGAGACAAAAGGCAATACACAGAAGGAACCAGGCCATTTAGGTAATTTCTTCATGTAACTTACTTGTACCTTCCTGATCTACCTTCCTGATCACATATATACCACTTCCATGGTATTTAGATGGGCTGTTACTGTGCATGTCCAGCTTTTTGATCTGGTGGGTCATCGAGCACCTAGCTCATGACAGGTAATTCAGGTCAGTCACATAGTAACCTCGTGTCCCATGCTCAAGTGTACAGTTTCCACTAAGGCCCAGTAGCAGACCAGGAGCTCTTTCTCTAAGATATGTAGCTACCTATAGATGATGCCAGAGTCTGCTCCAAACCTGTGATGGTCTCTGCTGTGATTCCCTTTATGGACCTGCCAGAGGCCCTAAACAGCAAAGGATACACCCACTAGGGAAACTAGAGTGCTTCAAAACAGGTATCCTTTCTACTTCTTTCCCTTTTTATTGTATCCAGGCTACAAGCCTATAAACTAGAGCTACGCACATCCAGGGTGGGTCTGCCCGCTAGGTTTGCCAGCTTCTGCGTCAGTCATCCATAGACACACCCAGAGCAGTGCTTTACTAAACTTCCACACTGTTCTTACTCCAATCAGGCTAATGCAACACAGTGAATGTCACATCGCCTTTCTTCATGGATCTCTAACAGAAAGGTGAACACTTGCCAGTGAGAACAGGATCCTGATGCATGCTGAGCTCACTATACCTCTCTCCACTGAGTACATGCATGAAGCCAGGCTCTACCCCACAGAGGGGAGAGCCCTGATAAGCTGAGATCCTGGGCAGGGCTGGGCAGGCAGGAGGTCTCAGTGAGGCCTGCTGCTCCTACTTGGTGATTCAGACCTTGTGATTGTTGCTGCAGTCTCCTCCACTGCACGATGTGGGAAACATGCATTATAAATTTTGCTGAAGGATGTGATTGTTCAATCCACAGATGACTGACCCAGCCCTGTGACATGGGCTGGAGCTACAGCAGGGAGGAAGCAGATAGTGTAAGGACCCAGGGAAGGATGTGGAGGTGCACAGAGTGATGATGCACACCCTAAACCCCTCAGGCCTGAGGTCTCAGGATGAAGGGTGCTTGGAGCTGGCAGCGTATCAGGCAAAGTGAGCCTGTGTGCAGTGTGATGGTCCCCGGGGTAAGACATGTGCTGCTGACAGCACAGGGACCAACCCAATGCCTCAGAAAAAGGCAGTGAGATGCTCCTGGGGACCTGGCTCTAAGGGAGGGGCAGCAGGAGCCCCTTGTGGCCTCCCACAGGTACTGCTGCCTGGTCATTCACCCAGGTGACGGACACAGTCACACTCCCCTAGGAGCACACACGACCCCCAGACAGAATCAGACACACATGCAATCACACACATGTACAGGCACACATATACACACACAGTCACAGCACACACACACACTCACACACATACACACACCTGCAGCACATACACAGCATCCCTTATGACAGAAGTGTACATTATTATGGAGTAAATTTGCTCTACAGGTATTTCCAGCTCTGAGCTTCCTCAAATGTACAAAACTCTTCATGTCTATGGCAAAATCCAGAACAACTCCTTGCAGGATGAGAAAAGTCAAAGGGGTTAAAGGGTGTTTTCCATACTGGTGCTTGCAATATACATGAGGCTCTGTGAATCAATACAAGCTACACTCCTAATTAAAGTATAGAGGATTCCTGAATGATTCCACTGGAAGTCTCCTCATGGAGATGGCAGTACACATTAAACAGGCATAAAACATGGAAAATACCTGCAATACAGAAGTTGATTAAATCTTTTTCAACTCTCACAGATGACTTTGATCTTTGGGCCCTTTGTTTTCAGGGAGAGGGCATAGCACCTGAGTGGCACCTTCAGAAATTGAGTCCTCTGCAGACAAATTGGGAGACACGGATCTAGATTAATTCTTCACTTCCTCTGGATTCTAGAATTGGGAACCTAAGGAAATGGATGGTGGTAATGGGATCAGGTTGACAGCTGAGGAAGGAAGGGCTGGACGGAAATTGATTGCTTTGGAATTGGTGTCGACATGAGCTCACAGTTTTCAGTGTAGAAACCAACAGACAGTTGTGGTCATGTGTGTATGTATGTCCCAGCTCTGTCACCTAAGAGGTTAAAACAAGGAGCCTCAGCTTCCCACTATGTACTTTTTGGAGGCTGGAAATTCTTTGTTCAGGAGCTGTTTGTGTTCTGCAGGATGTTGGTCAGCATCTCTGACCTCTGCCCACTAGATGGCACTAACATCTACTTCCTGACGGGGACAGCCAAACCTGTCTCCAGACAGAGCCAAATGAACCCTGGACACTAAAGCCCCTGGGATGAGCAGCGCTGATCTTATCAATGAGTAGCTCTGCACTCAAGGATGGTTCAAAATTTTACAGCTTCAGGGACTGGACCAAGGACAGGGAACTCTGAACCCGGACCCCTTGTTAAGTCACAGAATAGGGGCAGAGTACAAGAATGAGGGGACATGTCTACAGGACACTAGAGCCAGCTTAGGAGGCTCCTGGGACCAGCCCTGAGGTCATGTAAACATTGTAATAGATGATAATAAGAGTACAAGTCCATGAATAAAATGAGAAACTGAGTGTCAGTAGTGGAGAGACAGATGACTGATGGATAGGTAGGTGGATGACAGTTTTCTTTACTGTATAATGAAAGTCATTAATAAATATATATTTAAATGAAGACATTAGAAACACAACAATTTGATAATCATAACAGCAATTGACTCTGGCAAGAATTATCACTGTATGCTGACCTTAGAGAGTATAGGTTTAATAAGTATGAAATAACTATATGTAACAGTATAGCCCCATGAAGCACCTACTGATTATAAAAGGGAAAACAGTAGCTTTTCACTAGAGAAACTTGGAGGATCCAGTGGATCCTGGGTCAAAGTCAGCACATGGTAGCGCAGGGACAGACTGATGGCCTCCTACTTGTGGCCTCCTGCCATGATGACGTGAGGAGCCAACCTCCTTGCCACAGTTTCTCTAAAGGCCCAGCACAAACCCCAACTGGGGACATTCCACAAAGTGATTGCCCTGTGCACTTCCAAAAGATGAGGTAACAAAGACAAGGAACACCAAGGAGCTGTTCAGGATGGGAAGAGACTGAGGAGGCCCAACAACTAAATGCCCTGAACAAATTCACAAACGTGGTCAGACACCATGTGTGCTGTGATCCTGTCATGATGGCAGTCACTGGCCTGAGTTTGGCTAAGAGAATGCCCTTGACCTTAGTACATGCACATAAGAGTTTCCAGCTGGGGAAAACTGTATTCATCCCCTCTACATCTGTGTAACACAACATCCAGCAGGAAGGCGAACTATGTAGGCTCACAGTCTCAAGAATCCAATCCATGGTTGCTTGGCCCGCCCGCTTTGGGGCTTGTGACCAGGCAGCTCTTCATTGTGGGGAACAAAGCCACTCACCTCCTGCCAGTTGTGGGCTGTTACTGCAGGGGATGGGCCACGTGGACAGAGAGGTGTCAGGGCAGTAGGGGGTGGCAGTAGACAGCCCAGGAAGCAGAGAGGAGACCTCTGGTGCCATAGCTGTCCAACCTCCAACTCAGGCAGCACAGGAGTAGCCCAAGTTGGGCAGCAGCATCCAGTGCAGCCCTGCGGGTCCCAACCACCTGGTTCCCTGGGGAAGGGCAGGACTGCGGATGGGAGGGAGGTCACCGCTCTCCACCACAGTTGACTCCTCTGAAGACACAAGTTCTGTGTTCCAGGCCCAGCTCCCCTGGGCCATCGCTCTGGCTTCCTCTCAGACTCATTCAGACAAACCTACTCTCTACAGAGCTTCTCTTTTCCTCTAGTTTCAGAGACATTAGAAACTCTAAACTCAAATTCTACTGTCTGGATTTTTTCTTCTTTCTCAGTGTCCCTGGGCCAACCTCTCTTCCCTCTCTAACTGGAGCAATTAACTCCAATTATGTAAGACATGCTCTGCTGGGAGGAAATGCTGGCACTGTCTCAAAAAAAATAATAAAAGGAGCTGAAGTTTAAGAGCAGTAATCCTGATTCCACTGCCATTCAGCAGATGCCTGTGCCTGATCCGTGCCAGGCACCGGGAAGAGAAGCAGACAGACAACAGGCTGGAGCTTGCACTCGGTGGGTAGAAATGGCAAATATGAGAGCCGCACACACCAAAACTCAGGCGGTGCAGTGAAAACATAAACGTGGGGAAAGAGAGAGAGGAGGGCATGACTTTAAATGGTGAGGTCAAACAAGGCTCAGGGGAGGCGGACCTCCGTGCAGACTTCTGAAGGGGTGAGGAGGCAGCCACAGACCTGCAGGACGAGGACCCAGCTGGCCAAGCGCCCTGAGCAGCAGCACCCCAGCAGCCTTGGGAGCTTCCAGAGCTATCAGCCTAAGTAACCCTTAGTTACTGTGGGCTGATGAGGCCTGCAATCTCCCAAGCAAGTGGACAGGGAAGGGTTAAATAAATGGTACAAAGGAAATGATTTTAGGGCTCCAGGGGGAACTAACTCTCTTACAACTTTAATATTCTCTGAGTTTAGCCAAACACTTCTCTGGGCAGCCTGTATTTATTTGGTTTATGAAAAAAGGAGGGGGATACTCCTCAAGAAAACTCAGGAATCTGGGCAGGACTTCTCCAAGTAATACATTATGTTAATTTAGGAGAACTATGTTATCTCCAGGAAAGCCTTTACAGCAAGAGTGAGATGCCTGCAGCTATAGTCTCCTTTAAATTAACTGCGGTTGGAGCCAGACGTCTTTAGTTGTGGCCTTATCTTGTCCTTTGAGGTGTTATAGTTTTATAGGGCAACATAGGCTTCAATGGTGACCAGAGTGACTCACAGAGGTTTACTTATTATGAGTCCACTGCCTATCTTTAGACAAGATACCTAAGCTTTAGACAACTCACAAGTTAACCCAGAAAGCCAATTGGTTAATAATAAATCCAGCTCACAGCCACTTTGCAGTGGTCTCCAACACAGAGCAGCAGGGACAGCAGGAGAGGATGTCACAGCTGCGGCAGGCTGTGCTGGGCCTGGGAGCCACTGGAGCCTTCATCTTCTCCTCCTAGTGATCAGGCCCTCCTCCCCAGTTGGGCAGCCATGGCCACTGGGGACATGGAAGCTCAAGTGAGTGGAAATTCAGTGAGCTCACAGGAGCCTGGGTCAGAGCTAAGATCTCGAGGGAGTGTGAAGCATAGGTGGGGTCCTGGCTGAGGCTGAGGTTATGAAGGAGCTCCATCCCTAGAGGCGGGCTGAGTGGATGTTTCAGGGTCAGGAGGCCCCGCCATGGTCCAGGTGGCCAGGCCACAGTGAGCTGGGCAGACAGCAGGTTCTAGGTCTGTTCTGAAGGCACAGTGGAAGTTTCTCTGACACTGGGCGTAGGGTACAGAGAAGAGCAGTGACATGATGGGGATACCCAAGGTTTCAAGGGCAGTGCCCAGAAAGCTGCAGTGGCTGCCCTGATGTGGGGAAGCTACAGGCAGGAGGTGGAGGGGGACCCAGAATGCAGCGGGGTGTGGCAGTGGGGTGTGTAAAGTCACCAAGGGGAGCTATAGAGCAGAATGTAGGTGTGGCGCTTCCTGCTGGAGACCCTGGGAGACTCAGAGGACAGCTGGGTCTCAGTCCCTTCTCCGTGCTCTAAACCATGCCTGAGGCTGGTGACTTACAGGAGGAGCAGCTTATTCCAGGAAAAGCGGTTTAGGAGCGTGTTGGTTTGGAGCTTATTTTTGCAAGGTGAAACAATATAATACAGGGCACATATTTTATATGATTACTTAAAATAGTCACCCAAAGAACGATATACAAAAGAGTGCAGGAAATCTATCCACACACTATAGACCAGGCAGGTGCTTGTGTCGCTGAGCTATATCCCTTGCCAGGGATAAATCTGTCCACACACTATAGACCAGGCAGGTGCTTGTGTCGCTGAGCTATATCCCTTGCCAGGGATAAATCTGTCCACACACTATAGACCAGGCAGGTGCTTGTGTCGCTGAGCTACATCCCCGGCCAACACACTATAGACCAGGAATCTAGGGCAGAACTTGGATCCCACGGAAATGTCCTGCATGAGTCCAGCCAAAGACCCAGAGCTCATAACAATGCCTCCCACGAGTCCACCTGGAGGCCCAGAGCCCATAACAATATCTCATGCAGGCCTGTTTCGCGGATCTGCCCTGGGAAGGCCCAAAGGTCAATGGTAGAATCTAGGAAATCTGTGCCAGTGGGATGAAGGAGTTGTGCTAGTAGGTTGAGGGATCTGCACTGGAGCCAGGAAGTGATGCTCAGAAGAACCAGAGCTTCCCCAAAAGATACCACAGCCATCCTCAGCAACAGTGAGGTCCCGAGCTCCTCCAATGATCCCATCAGGGAAGCCAACGCAGCAAGCTTCTCAGGAGACCAGCCATGCACCAACTTCCCCTCCGAAGCCAGGAAGCGATGCTCAGAGTGAGGACCAGAGCTCCCCCAAAGTGAACCAAAGCTATTCTCAGTGCCAATGATGTCCTGAGCTCCTCGGAGGATGAAAACAGCCAAGTTCATCAGGAAAGCCAGTATGACGAGCTCCTCCAAAACAACCAACAGCTTCTACCTTTTCCAACAGCCTCTTTGGTTCCCAAAAGCCTCTCTTCTCCTTCTCCAGTTGTGCCTCTTATGCTGCGGGCAACAGTCCCCAGGTGAGCCTCCCACACCTAGCATCACACTTACTCAGTTTAGCTGGGGATTATAAATTGACCACCAGTTGTCAATCCACTACAAGGAAGTTGGAAGTCCAGGAGCCTCTGGGAAAAGAACAACAGCAACAAAAGATGGCACTGCATTCTCAAAATCTGCCCAGTCAGGCTCCCAGTGATACCCAGGATGCATCTGGAGCCAGGGTCCCTGCCCCTGTCCATATCCAGTGACACCCCCACCTCACGCTGGCTAAAGACCCGCTGTGTCTCTCCTCAGAGACCAAGAAACTCCTGAGGGCAGGACCCACTCCCACTTGGTCAGAGTCAGAATCTGACATCAGATGTACATTGCTGTGCAATGAATGGATGAATAGATAGACATAGAATCAAGAACACTTTTCATGAAGGACCAATAAATATGAGAGGCTTGCCTGAAGGGATCCGGCATAAAGCCTGTGAGAAGGAGATGCTGCCTATCAATCCAGTTCTCATTGCTATAAGAGAACAGCAGAGACTGAGTAATTTGCAAAGAAAAGCAATTTACTCAGTTCCTGGTCTGGATGCCAGAAGCCCAGGATCAGGCAGCCGCACCCAGTGAACACTTTGAGCTATAGTGTGATGAGGCCGCAAAGCAGCAGCTCGGTGAGCATGTATGGAGCAGGAAAGTGTTCGAACCACAGCACCACCTGTTAGGCAGCAGCGCTGAGGATCCCCAGCCTATGTGACAGTGCTGAGGACGACACCCACAAATATTCACACATCAGTGAAGCCCAGCATGTGCCAGGACCCCTCGGTCTTTGTCTGGACTCCCCAGGCCTGGCTGGGCCAGGCCTGCTGCTCTGGCATTCTGGATCAGGAAGCCTGAAAATGCCCCTCACCCACGCTTTGGTTCTAGGAAGAGAATTAACTGCATGAAGGTTTGTCCCATGGTGAAGTGCATCATGCCCAGAGCATTCATTACAGAACCCAGACAGAAGGAACTGAAAGTCCGGCATCAGAGGAAACTTCAACCAGGAGGAGCAGACAAACCTGGGATCAGAGGCTGTCACACCCCAGAGACAAAGCTCAGGAAGGGACAGGAGGGGAGGGGGCAGCAGTGTTACAAGCATGGCAAACAAGGTCGGGTTAAAGCACACGCGTGAACTTGTGCATGGGCACGCAGGCCCACCCACACATATGCACACGTAACTTACAGCCTTATGGTCCTTGTGTGTTCTTCTTTCTCTTCTGTTTTTTAAAGAAAGTACTGAACTGATCTTACTCTTTAAAAACCTCAACTTGTATTTTCACATATGTGGGAGAGTTGGGAAAAGCTGCTCTTTCTCTTATAAAATCTGGGTTTGCACCACTGACGGTGGAGCCTTTATTCCTTTCTGGGTTCTGCCTGAAAGAAAACACTAAACCCTAACCCTACGCAGGTTACAGTGGGGCACTCCTATAATCCCAGCATTCAGGGGGCTGAGGCAGGAGGATCGAGGATCGCAAGTTTGAGCCCAATCAGGTAATTTAGTAATTAGAGAAACCCTGCCTCAAAAATTTAAAAACTTTAAGAAACTGTTGGGTATGTAGTTTGGTGCAAAAACCCTCGGTTCAACCCCCAGTAACGGGGTGTGGTGACAAAAAGACTGGCTTTAGGGAAGAAGGAAGGAGAGGGTAGAGGAGGGGTGGGGTCCCAATTTAAAAGAAGAAAAAAGGGAAGGGAAGAGGGAGGGAAGAGAAGGGGGGAGGGAGGAGAAGTGCAAGGCAGCAGCAAAGGATGGAAGCCATGCAGAGCCGCCCTTCCCATGTGCTCTGTGTTTTGGGGCGCAGGCCAGAGCCCATCTAAGAGCCCCAGGGAAGCTGCATAGTCAGGGACAGAGCCCCGAGTACGCAGGAAAACGTTCCCACCTTTTGATTCCTGTGGATCCCACCTTCCCAACTCAGGCAGCACAGAGCAGATCTGGGGTCCAGGGACACAGGAAAGCTGGCCACCTTCACTCTGGAGTCACTGGCCTGGGTTACTGTCAGGCAGAGAGGGTGGGGTTGGTGGAGAAAGGGTCCAGCTCTCTGTCCGGAGCCCTGCACTCGCTCCTCTTCTGGGCCCGATTCCAGCCAGGCCTGCTCCGTCCTGAGCCCTGGCTTTGGCATGTGATTCCCTGCTGCCCGTGTCCTCTCTGTCCAGGGAGGAAGAGAACCAAACATCAGGCTAAAGAAACAACATGAGGGAGCTCAGAAAGGAAGCTGAAGCAAGGATGCAACACAGGCGCTCTCCTGGCGAGTCCACCCCTGGGAAGCTCAGGAACAGGAGCAGATCCCAGCCCAGGACAGACAGGGAACAGGGCCAGGTGGCTTTGAGCTTGAGCTCCAGGGTGCTGGTCGGTTGGCGACCGCTCTGGTTCTTGATGGAGGGGTCGCTCTGGGTGAGGTTTACTAAATCCCTCAGTCTAAATATCCAAAGCGCCTCATTAAGAATTGCCCTGTTTCATGAAATGATATTTGGTGTAAAGGTTAAATAGCCATTTTATTAACATGATTACACCAGTTTTTTCACTTTCCTGATACATCTACCAGAAGTTTAAAGCCACACATGCTCGGTATCCCAGCTCTGTGGGGGTCTCGCCCGTTGTCCCCTCCAGGCTCAGGTACCTGTGCCGGGCTGTGGCCTGGACTACCTGGCTGGGAGTAGTTGTTGGGAGATCTGTTGACTGACTGACTGATCACGAGGCCTTAAGGTGAACCCCTGTCCTTTCCCAAGTAAAGGGGAGTCACTCCTTCTTGGCAGAGGAGTTCCCCCAAGACAGGTCAGGGCCTGGGCTTCCCGGCACCCCTGCTCGGGGATTCCCTGACCTCCGACGACCCCTGGATGCCAGGACTGCGCTTTTCCCCTTTTCTGCTGAAACAGCGTTCAGCGGGCGGAGCGGCAGGGCAGCGGGGCGGGACCTGGGCGCGGCCGGAAGAGGCGGAGCGCGCCTGGATAAAGGCGCCGCGCAGCGCGGTGGTCCGCAGCTCCCGTCCCGTCGCAGCCATGGCCCGCGCCGCCCTGCTTCTGGCCGCTGTCCTGGTCGCCGTCCTGTCGCTGACGCTGGCCGCGGAGCCCAGGAAGCGCCCGCGCCTGCTGGGCGGCCTGGAGGAGGCGGATGTGAGCGAGGAGGGCGTGCAGCGCGCGCTGAACTTCGCTCTCAGCGAGTACAACAAGGCGAGCAACGACCGCTTCCACAGCCGCGCGCGCCAGGTGCTGCGCGCCCGCAAGCAGGTGCGTGTGTGCGCGGCCTGCCTCGGCCTCTGCCCCGCCGCCCGGCCTGCGGCCCAGCCGGAGGCGGATTCGGAACGCACGCGAGCCTCGGCAGGGGTCCTTGCTCTCCCTCCTCCGCCCTTCCTGCTGGCCCAGATGGTCCCTCCTGCAACCTGGCCTAGACCCTAGGGTGCACTGCAAGTGACACCTGAACCTTAGCCGTAGTCCAGTCCCAGAGGCACCAAGCTAGGATCGGGGTCCTTAGCTTTGCCCCACAGCCACCTCTCAGGCAGGAGCCCTTATAAACTGTGGACCAAGTGACCACACAGCAGGGACAAGGACGGGGACAGGCACCTGTACCCTCCTTTTCTGAGCTCCACCCCCTGAACTTTATCTCCCTGCTCTGACTTGACCTCAGGTCTGCAGAGCAGGCGCAGAAGGAGCAGAGGGCGTCCTGGGCCCTGTGCCCGCCTCTCCCGTGGTCACCCTTGGCCAAGTGGGCCCTGCTTCTGGCTCCCCATAGTGGGTGGAGCTGTGTATGGATTTGGGTGGATTCCCCTGATCCTTGGGGGCACTGCTTACCCACAAGGACCTGCTCTCCACATCCAGGACCAGGCTGACTTCAGGAAGCCACATTCACACTCAGTCGCCCACAGAGCCTCATGCAGGGTGGCTGATGCCCACTGAGGACATTTCTGTGCCCTGCAGCCTGTCCTGACTCAGCCTCCTCTTCCCTGGAGCAGCTGCTCTGTGCTCCTGACCTGTGCTTATTAGGGTCCGCCCAGCTGGGTGCAGTCCTGAGCCCCAAGGTGTTCCTGGCAAGGATGGACGGGGTGCACAGGCATCCCTAAGATGACAGGGTTGTGATGCTGATGCTGCCTCTGCTTGTGTATGTTCTCTATGACGTCACAGAGTGAACCCTTAAGGACCCCCCACTCAGATGTGTCCCAGTCACTAGGCAGGACATAACTATGCAGATGTCTGCTGACCCTGGGTGATGGGTGTGTCCTCGAGGGTGGACATAGCCAGCAGCCGGTCCTCCTCCTAGGCTCCAGCAGGGGTATAGCTCTGTCCCCAGGAGCCTGCTTCCCCTCTGTGCAGCAAGGCGGGGTCTCCTGAAGCAGTCCTCAGGAGTGGTCTGCAGGAGCAGGGTCCTTACCCTGAGACAGGCCTGGTGGCTGGGAGCTGTGGGCACCCAAGAGCTTGGGGGAGACAGGCCTCTGTTCCTGCTGGAGTTACCATGGGCAGTGAGGTTGCTGGACCTGGCTTGTCCTTAAGGAGGCTGGGTTTAGGCCCGTGTCCCCTGTCAGGTGGAACATAGGACAGTGCCAAAAGCACTGTGTGCACAGTAGTGTGTGGAGCTCGGTCCCCCCTCTGTGAACATCCAGGTGAGTGGAGAAGGGCCTGTCTCCTCACAGTGGCCCGCTGACCTCTGCCCTGGGCATGGCCTGCACTTCCTGCTGCCATGGTCCTTGCTGCCGTCACCCTCAGGGTGACGAGCCTTGGGGTGAAGTAAGGATATGAGACATCACAGGTCCCTGACCTTGACCTGCAGATGGGGAGGTCAGTCCTGAGGGGGCCTGGGGCCTCGCCCTGGCTGTGCGGGGTGTGGTGCAGAGCCCTGTCCTGCGTCCCTGCCTTCTGCCTCTCCTGGTGCTAAGGAGTCCTCTCTGGGCTCCCAGGCAGGGACGGCTGGGTTCTGTTCTCCAGTGCAAACTGAGACAGGCAGGGGAGCGACTGCCTGGCAAAGTGCCCCAGGAAGCCCTGAGCTGGTGCAGGGCATCTCTCCAGTGGGCCGGCACCGTCCCTGTGGGCAGCTGGCCGCCCCCTGCTGCCGAGCCAGGGAAGATGTGTCCTGTGGGTGGGGAACCAGGTACCTGAGGGGTCAGCTCTGCTTGATCCTCAGGTCTCAGCTCCTAGAAGAGCGTCCAGGGCGTGCTGTTGGGCACGAAGCCTGCTGGGGTGGACCCGCCCTGCCTCCTGGACAGGAAGTGCTGGCTCAGTGCCCGGGCTGCTCCCCAAGTCGGCCTCCCTCCCAGGACCCAGATAAGGGGATCCAGTCCTAGTGTCTGCCTGCTCTCTTCCTGTTTCCTCTGCTTGGCTGCAGGAGACACTTGGTTTCAGTTGCTCGGGAAGAAACAAGCTGTAAGCAGGGCCCAGCCGTCCTGCAGCAAGACTTGGCTTGCGCTTGATGGGTGATGCTTTTGGTAGCTCATCAATGCAGGCCTGAGCCCTGGGCAAACACACTGACCGGTTGGACAAGACAGTAGCTGTGGGTGTGTGAACCACACAGCTGTGAGTGAATCCTGCTCTTTCCCCTCTAGCTGGTGGCCGGCATGAATTACTTCCTGGAAGTGGAGATTGGCAGAACCACGTGCACCAAGTCCCAGCCCAACTTGGCTGACTGTCCCTTCCATGAAGAGCCGCACCTGAAGAGGGTAGGTTTCTGCTGTGGGCAGAGCCAGTCCAGAAGCAGGGATGTGTGAGTCTGTGTGTGCATGTGCACCTCTGGTGGTGCAGTTTTTGTGCAGGTAGGCGTGAAGAAGGTATGTTGTCGTGTGTATGTGAATGCTTGCCCTTGTGGGTTGTATGGGAAGTGAATGTGCACATGTGCGGGTTGTACAGGGAGATGAATGTGCACACCTGTTGGTCGTGTGTACAGGTGAGTGTGCACATTGGTGAGTGGTGTGGGAAGTAAATGCACATGTGTGTGTCATATGAATGGGTGTATGTTGTCTGAGGAAGTGCATGTGCACACCTTTGTGTCATGTGGGGAGGTGTGTGTGTGTGTGGAGTGTAGTAGTCGGGGGCAGATAACTTCAGGTGAGGTGTGTGTGTGAGGGTAACTACACATCTGTGCACATGTGGATAACAGAGCAGGGCTGTACACACAGGATTGATTGGGGTGCTGAGTGGTACCTTGGGAGGCAACCGCTGTCTTTGGGGCTCTCCTGCTGGGCCGGAGGGGTAGCAGCAGGGCTGGTGAGGCAAGAGAAGGCTCTGGGAGTCCCAGCCTCGCCCCTGCAAGAGCTAGGCTGAGCAGGTCAGGCCCGAGAGGGCCAAGACCCCACATTGCCCTCAACCTCAGCCTCTCCTGACAGCCGGTCCCTGGAGGCTGAGCTCTGGGCACTGAGTCCCTGTCACCCTGCCCACCCCGCCTGTCTCTGTGTCCCAGGCCTGGTTCACCCCTGGGTGCCTCTCAGTGCTGCCCTGGGCTGAGGTGAGGGTGCTGGGGCACTGAGCTTCCCTGCCCTGTGTCCCTGGGATCCTGGCCCTGCATAGCTGCTCCCTGGGGGCCATGGGGGACAAGGACCTCGGATCCCTGAGCTGGGGACTTTCCCTCCACCTTGCCCCATCACATGGCCAAGCCTCTTCCCTTTCTCCTGCAGCCCTACTGATTGTCTTTCCCTCTTCTTTTGTAGAACTCGGTCTGCTCTTTCCAGATCTACACCGTGCCCTGGGAAGGCAAAATCTTCCTCACCAAGTCCAGCTGTCGCGATGCGTAGGCTTTGTGCCAGGCCACGCCACACTTCCCACCTCTTACCTGTGTCCCCTTTGGTGTCCCCTTCCCGCAATGGAACCCGGCCCTGGCTCAGTCTCCTTGGTGTCCCAGCTCCTAGGGACCAGGACAGCAGGCCCCTCCGGGTAGTGTGGACACCATGAGCTGTCCCCTCTTCCTTCCTCGACCTAAACCACACCAGTGTGTGGGGCCTACAGCCACCCTTGCCTTGCTCAATAAAAACCTGCACCAGCTCCTGGTGGCGTGGTCTCAGGGGACAGGGGAAGGGTTGTGAGCAGATGGGAGCTGGGCCCACTTGGCCACACACACAGGTTGGGGCCAGGGTCGCCCTTTTGGGACCCCTGGGTCCTGGTGAGATGAAGAGGAGTTCGGGACCCAGTAGAGGTTTGGGCACAGAAACCTTCGCCTGTGATAATATGCACATCCAAACACCGACAGTAACAAAGATCCCTTTCATAGGTCACTGGGGCCCTTGAAAATGTTAGAAATATTATGGGAATCACCAGAATAGGACAGAGACGGGAAGTAAGCATGTGCTGCTGGAAAAATGTCACACATAGGCTTGATCAGCACAGGGTTGCTTCAAAGCCCTGATTTGTAAAATCTGTGGGTGAAAGGCAAGAAACAAGCAGGTCCGTGCCAGAACCCAGGGAGGAGACGCACGAGGCGTGGAGGCCACAGCTCTGTGCCGCCCAGAGCTTCCCTCTGTGCCTGTCTGTGTGCCCTGAGCCCTCTTCCTTTGGGTTTTTGGAGACTGGTTATGTAAGCGTGGTTGAAGCATGGCCAGCTGTGTGGAAATGGCATTGGCCCAAGGGGTCTGAGCCAGTGCAACAGACGGGGCTGGAGCCCAGCAGACACCCTCCAGGGTGTGGCTCAGCAGCAGGGTCTCACCATCTGCTCTCAGGCGGAGTCTGCTTGTGGCTGGCACTGGGACAGAAAGGTGGGGAAGGTGGATGTTCTGTGACTGCCCTAGGAAAGGAGAGTTCAGGTTTCTGTGAATCCGTGCCCAGGATGGGCAGCTCTTATAGATGCAGTTTGCGAAGCCAGCAGGATTCCTGTGCTGAGGTCTGAGGCACAGCTGCTGCTTTTCTTGGGAATCAGCCTGTGCTTTCCAGACCTTCGCCTAACGGGGCCGCAGGGCGTCTCCTGACCCCACAGCCCATGTATGGTGCTGTCCACAACTCCCGCCTCACCCCAGCACAGGGCCAACACGCAACACCGCCCAGCTGGCCCCTGCTCTAAAACAGTTGTGTCCTTCCCTACCCTGAAAGCATGCTTTCCAGAACATTCCTGCTCCTGCTGACTTCCCATAGATGCTCTTAGGGCAGAGTGCTCCAGGCACTTTTCTGGCCATCAGCTGTGCCACAGGAGCTGAGGAAACAGCTGATTTCTCTTCCCCACAACAGCAGGGTGCTCCGCGCTCTGGAGACCCATCCCCCACTCCCACCTCTGCCCAGACAGACCAGCTTGGCCACACCCCATGGATGCCCTGAGCAATCACCATGCAGGGTCTTATTTATAGAAGGGAATGGCTCATGGCCCAGCTCTTCTCCACTTTAAGAATAGGAGAGTGGCTCTACCTTCCCAGTTAGAAAATTGCACCTCACTGTCCCTGAAGTTAAACAGAATGGGCTCTGATGAAAACAGGAGATGCCCTGGCGCACTCACTGCAGTCCAGGAGGCTCTTGTGCCTCTGAGGCCTGCTCTCAGCTGCCTTGGGTCCGTTTCGTGGCCGAGTCTCTTCTTGCCTCCCCTCTGGGACCACATCTTGGAGGAGCCCAGCAGGCAGGGCATAGCAGAGGTCAGGAGGGTGGGTGCCCGTCCAGGGGACATCAGTGGCTGACACCTGGGGGAGAATCACTAAACCAGCCCAAGCTGGGGGTAAGAATTCAAGTTTGCATTGTGCCAGTGAGCGAAATACACACTACATTTAATAGCTCTGTCCCCTCTTTCCATGCTCCTTGGAGTGGAAGTGGGGAGGGATTTCTAGGCTAGCTGCTTCCTGGGGAAGGATAATACTTTGGGGCTATTTCTCACTAATAAATCACTCTGTACGGTAAATAGTGGAAGATGATAAATACACAGCTTACCATTTATGTACTAAGTAAATCTTTCATTATTATCAGCCCTGAAATGGCCAGGTTGCCTGATTCTAACTGCAGAGTGTGCTGGTGTACTGGGCTCCAGGTGGGCCAGGTTCTGGAAGGGAGCCCAGCGCTCACTGCATGGGCAGACTGCACCTTTGTCCTCCAGTGAGTACCACCTGCGGTAGCTTTGCACCCTGGAAGAGCCACAGCTCGCTTTCCTGTGGCCAGTTGTAAAATACATTTCCCATGAAAATACAAGCATCCAGTCCCATGCTGGAGTGCCTCAGGGGCTCCCTGGCAGGCCATGCTCTGCACATAAGCAGGCAGGAGACAGCAGGCAGACAGAGGTGGTGGGGTGATTGTTAGAGCTCTCAGATGAAAGCCAGCAACCCAGGGAGAAGGTGGGGGTCTCTCCAGGGGCGCACACAGTCCCATATTCCAGGCAGGGGCATCTGTCTTTGGTTGGCCTTTTTCAAACAAGACCTTTCCTCCTGAACCACAGATTAACTGAGCTGCGAGTGGCCGTATGTGCTGTACTCTTTACCCACGGTTCCCTCTGGCTAGCACAAGAAACCTTAAAGATAAGCACATTGCACTTTCTGTTTCCGTGGGAATAACCACAACATTTTTCCCCTAATTCCCTAAAGCTCCTTTACTTTATCTTTTCCATAATATGCTTACTATTGTCTAAAAATATTTGGGAGTAGCTGGGAATGGTGGCACACACCTGTAATCCCAGATTCCAAGGGCTGAGGCCTGAGGAGCACCTTGAGTTCAAGGCCGGCCTACACTATGTAGCATGATCCCGTCTCAAACAAACAAACAAATAAAAAAAATATATATATATATATATATATGACCCCTTGGGCCTGTAAAACTAACACATGACTGTCAGCTGAGTGTCTGTCCTCCACAACGCCTCTCCTCTTCCTGTTCCAGAGCTCTTTGGCCTCTGATTTTTGTTACTGCTCTTGGTAAACTGGTTGCTTGCTTGGTTGTTTGGTTGCTTGGTTGTAGCTGTTTTGCCTTCTCTCTCAGATTCCTTATTTGGGTGTAAAAATTCAAGTCTTTTTGAAAGAACTCTGACTCCACATTTCTAGCTCCCATCTTGTTCACCTAAAGTTTCCATGAGCAGTTCAGACATAACTGTTAAAGACAAGAATATTAGGTGACTGCAAAAGGAATAAACATTTACAAAAGAACTCTTAAAGATTCAAAAATCTTTTTCAGTAATGGATAACCTTAAGGACATGTCATGTTAAAGTAAGCAGTAGGTATTTATTAGGTAATTCAGGTCATTTCTAAATGAGTTGGACTGCTGAAACAATTATTAAAGTTTAAATACTTTGGTGTCTTGCTTTTACAGGGAATAAAGAATCAACCTAGCAGGGCCTGTTGATGAGCATGAGGAAACGGTGTTAGCGTACAGAACGCCGGCTCCCTGTTAGCAAGGGTTCCTGTTCTCACTCACATAGGAGCTAAAACTGAAGAGGAGAGGAAGGCAGGCTCTTTGAAGGGGGCTGGGGGAGGTGTGGATGTGTTTTTGTTGCCTGAGAGAGTGGTTTTGTGCAGGGTTTTGTGAAGGATGAATTTTGCAAGAAAATTTGTACGTTGGATCCAGTTCGCTAAAATTAGAAGTGCATTATTCTGAGTTTTATTTTTAATCTAACACTGATACTGGAAGGGTACTGGGTTTATCCAAGCTGCGCTCTGAGGGGCAGGCGGTTTGCTGGGGGATCTGCCCTCCCTGGGGACTCTGAGGGCAGACTTGGCTTTACCTCATCGGCAGCTGGCCCGGAAAACAGATGCTGTGATAACTTCTGTCCTTCATGCCTGGGAAATCTTTTGTCATTTTGAGGTTACTCCATAATGACCAGAGATCCTATTTTTAAATCTTATTTGATATTTTAAAAAAACTTCTCAAAATCAAATTCTAAAATTAAAGCTTAGCAAGGCATGGTGGCACATACCTGTAATCCCAGTACTCGGGAGGCTGAGTCAGGAGGATTGATGTGAATCCAAGGAGGACTGATGAGTCCAAAAGAGACATAGTAGGTTTGTTTTCATTCATTAATACAGAAAGTATTGTCAAACAAGAAATGGTGCGTAACTTTTGAGTTACATTTGTGTGAATATATTATTAAGATGCATCTAAAAAACTGTATGGAATTCCTAAGGTCTGCTGTGTCTCGGGATTACCATTGTTGGTCCCAATTCCTATTCTTATGTTAAAATTGTGACATCTGCAGAGAGAACAATTCTCATCAGATCTGTAACCAGGACTGTTTTGGATCTCAACATCCACAGTTCAGCTGCTTGACCCTGCTGCCTCCTAGAAGCTTAGCTTCAGCAGCAGCTCGGGAAGACAGAACTCCAGTCAGTACAGCGCCCAGAAGCTGAGGTTGGGGAGAAGGCCATCTACCAAGCTTGGGAAGAGCAGGAATTAATTATGTGAAACTGCATGAAATAATGAAGACCGATCACGGCTTTAATGCTTTTTAGTTAACCAGTGCTGACTGTTTATGTTTTATTTTGTAGACTTAAACTTTTTTTTTCCTCTTCACTATGTATAGTTTACACCAATTTGGTAAAATATGCTTTTTAAACAAAAATTGAAATATTTACTTCTACTTTTTCTCCCTATATTTTCTCAGTTTGGAAACTATTCCTGAGTATATTTTTATGGCAATATGGCCATTTTCATAAGGCCAATAAAAATCTGTTCTTTCTATAGTGCGACTCAGCTAGAAACACTGGCTCTCCCTGGAATCCCATCTGAGGAGCTCGTATGGAATGCTGACTCCCTGGTTTGACTTCTAACCTCAGGCTTGTGAGAACCTACTTGGGGCTTCCTTCTCAACTTTTCCACCAAAGCAAATTTTGTCTGTGGCTCTTCTGGTATACTTCTGTAAATAATTAAGAGTTTTGCAGCCAAGCTGGTCCTACTGTGATTGTCTTTGGTGGAATGCCCCAAAGAATACTAGAGACCCCTCTCCTCAGATCCTGGCCTTGTCGTTGTTCCTGAGTTCATGACCCACCTGTAAGCTGGACAGGATGCCTACTGTCTGACTACAGCTCCAGCAGGGATAGAACCTCTGCAGCTGCCAAGTCCTCCACACTGAGGCAGACAACTCAAAGAGAAGGGCA